CACTCCATATTTGTAAATCACTGCCTGCTGAGCAAGTGGCTCATGCGTTAGCAGGTCACAATCGTAAGGGGTAGCATCACTTGTCTGAGGAACAGCGAGTATCCTTGGCGTGTTGCTGAGGCCAAATAGTGGTTAAAATGGGAGAAATTAGCAAAGAGCAACTTTGGGTCAGAATCTGTTATGACTGGACTTATCTCATTCAGGCCAGTGATGGCTGACTGACTAGTAGGGCAAAAGCTTTGTTGGTGGGAGCCAAGCCCTCCAAGGTATGTGGTGCTGTGGTCCTTCCCTCTGTTGGCTTTCAGCTGGGGTACCCTCTAGCTCTCATGGATGTTGATTTACATTAAATGCTTTAAATACATTTAATCTTTGGGGAAGATGTACAGGATACATAAGCCTTACCATAACAGAAGAACTTGGTGAGTTCACACTGAATACCTGTGACAAGTTTGACTGCTTGGGCTGCAGAGCACCCTAAGGTACTGTTTAACCTCTTCCCTGATAGCCTGATAATGGGGCCAGGTGCACTGTGAGGAATTTTGCAAGATGAGAAGTGATAGATCTCATGATTGTGCTGCTGTTCAGAGGCACCTGGATAGGCTTGAGAAATAGGCAGGCAGAAACCTCATGAAGTTCAACAAAGAGAAACACGAAGCCCTGCACCTAGAGAGGACCAGCCCGGTGTAGCAGGTGGTATAACCACTCATATACCCGTGCTGGGGGCCCAATCAGCTGCAAAGTTGCTCTGCAGCAAGTGACCGGGGAGTTCTTGGGGGCACCCAAGTTGGGCAATGGCTCTGTAAGGAGGCATTAACTTGGATCTTGATTTTGGCTCTGGTTATAAGCCTGCACCTTCTCATTGGTCGGTAAATTTCGGCCTTATTTCAAACAAATATGCTTCCTTTTTGTGCTGCTTTGGGTAAAGATTTTGGTGAGCATTTCATGTGGATTCTGCCATGAATGTGGGAGGAAACATTCTGATTTTGGCTGAGGTTTTAAATGCATGACTACTTGATTCCCATTGGCAAGCACATCATCAAGCCCAATTTCTTTATACCAAATTACTGTCTCTGTGCAGCTGGATGTGGAGGTGGATATTGAAGAGCAGCATGTTTGTGAGTGTGGCTCTTTAGCTGTGCTGTGTTTGTGCAATTTGCGTGTATTCTCTAAAAACGCGTTATTAAATCTAATAGAAGAAAAGGACCATAGATGGGCATCAGTATTTTTATTGCAGAAGTCCAAAACCTGAAAAAAGTAGGGAATTCACAACTCTGTATGGTAGCAGTTGATGGACAGCTAACATGGCTCCTGCTCCAAATGGTGTCGCTCTGCAGGGATGGGGAGTTGTGGCTGTGCCTGTCTCCTTCCCTGGCACTTGAGAAGAGCCCCGGCAGTGTGTCAGTGTACCTCAGGATGGGTGTGTCAGTGTGTGTGTGCCTCAGGACAGGTGTGTCAGTGTGTGTGTGTCTCAGGACAGGTGTGTCAGTGTGAGTGTACCTCAGGACAGGTGTGTCAGTGTGCCTCAGGACAGGTGTGTCAGTGTGTGTGCCTCAGGACAGGTGTGTCAGTGTGTGTGTGCCTCAGGATGGGTGTGTGAGTGTGTGTGTGTGTCTCAGGACAGGTGTGT